GGTTGCTGGGGGTGAAGCCGATTTTAGGTTTATTCAAATTAGGATTGCAGTTACGACCATATTCTACCTACTTGTTGTTATCTCAACTGTGGCTGCACATAAAACCTAGTGCTTCTTTAGCTTACAACGTTTTGATTTCTAGGCCCGACTATTACTAATCACCGGTTCCATGCTGTCTTGAAATAAGTTGCAACTGCTGTTCCTGCTCATATTCGACTAGCGATCACTAGCGAGATCGTTAACATCGTTCAAACCTAACCCATCGACCATTGCCTTTTTCGTGGCTCTACCGAATTTGCTTCGTATTTTGTATTATCATTTGGTGTCCCATTCTGTCCGTAGTAGAGTACAACTCAACTAGAACTAACTACTTAGGTACCACTGTTGCATCACGAACTCGGCGTATAATTTAAAGCTTTCTTCCCTTTCTTTTCATTTGCTCACCAAATGATTAAAGGACGACCTGTTACGATGACACAACTGTTGGAGGCTTGTTTACGCGTGCATATAGCCACTGCTCTAAATGCTGTTTGTCGGATCACTCTCATGTACTTCGAAACCTTTGCACTGATATATAACTTTATATATATACATACAATGTAATCAATGTCTTCAAGGTGCGAAACATCCGCCCATTTATCAAACTTTCCTTCGATGTTAACATCTCTTTAACAGAATACGATACGCGTGTTGCATAGTAATGAGGGCACGATGTATTTGTCTGAATGCTGACAGTAGAGAAAATAACAACAATCTAGTCAGGTCTTGATTTCGAGTGATTTGGCAAAATGGTATGGGATATGATTCAAGCTAAGGTTAAACCTTCTGGCTTAGCCAATACTATTATATTAAGCGTTATATTTGCGATAATAGTATCTAAATGTTTGGTACCGAACGGTTATAAAGAGAAAAAACCGTCGATGACATTGCAAGCGAACTAAAGCGTTCGCTTTAACGTCGAACTTTCTGTTATCGTTAATTTTGCCTGGAACAACTGCATATTAATACTAAATTTGAGTTAGCTACTCGCGTACCCATTTTTAGGGTAAACTTTGAAAAAAGAGTTATTCAGAGACAGCCAATGTCACTACTGCTATTTGGATAGTCACGAGAACGCTTCCTATCCCAAATCTACTATAATTCTCAACGTTTCTAAACTGGAGTTTCCAAACCAACTCGATTCTCTCCATGGTGGATCTTCTCACCGTGGCAAGTCCTGTAGCCAATTTTTCTATCTTAGGTAAAACTTCATCCCGATTTATTATGTTTGACTAATTAGTTAAAAACCTATGATTTCTTTGTTCTTTATTTAGAGCCTTTTCATGACTAAAGAGAATTTCGCTGTTGGGATCATATGTTCAAAAAAACCTTAAAAATATTAATATAACCTTATTTTCCCACACAGAATGTAACGTACGTGTCTGGAGATTGTTACGATATTGCTTTGATCAGGGCTAACATAATCAATAAAAGGTATTGTTTTGTCTACTTTAGCACCTATACGTTAACGGGAGCGGGAATTCTATTAACAGTCACTCAAATATCATCAGATGTTCGGCTCGAATGCTATGAAACATTAAATAATCGTTTAACAGTATATAACCGTGTTTATAATACGCAAAAGACGTAAAAAAAATTAGGCTTGTTCTGGGAAGTTAAGTAAACAGCGAAATGCTGATTCTCATGCTGGTATTATCATTTTTGCAAGCAAGTGCTACCTTCTGTTGTGGGTATGATGAATGTCGAAAAATAAAGAGATGTTACTTGAAGACATGCATCAATCCATGCAGCTGATTCCATTTCGAAATAATTAACTACGTTCTGACAGCTATCCTCGCAGACAAGTTCTGCGTGAACAATAGATCTTAGTCAAGAGTTTTTACAGTTGTAACTACATGCTAAACCATTTATGTGCACCCTTTATAGATGGTTACGGTTTTCAGTGCTTTTTTTCTTACATTAATATATTGATTGTTCGAATAAACTACTGAGAAGTTCTGTACCACCGCTCATTTTCTTCCAGCGGCGGGAGAGAGGGTTGCCAAGATGGAGTCTGCTATGGCGCGTATCAATGTTACAGGGTGCCTGCCCTCGCCACGACACGCTTATTTCTTTTCTAAATAATAACAATCGTATTAATAGAGGATGCTGCCTAAGTTCCTATCCGTCTTGAAGCGCTTCGTTGGGTCGGTTGCCTCGACGAGCACTCTTAAACTCTCGATAATAATTATTTACACACTAATTTCTGACAACTAATTAGTCATCCTGAATCACAAATGATCATAAATTAGTTACATGCTCAATTGTAAAATAATAATTTTGAACTCATATCCAATTGCCACCTCTGTCTCCATAGAGATCAAATATAAGCTTGATTGTGAGACCCGCAGATTAGAATTAAGACGTTTACAATTCCTACCTTTTTGCGAGTTTATAAGACGTTCATTTATACTTTTTAGTATTTACTTATCTTATTTAAATTATCGATGACTAAAATTGATGAGCCTTTCGCATTTCAAAAGCTTGGCTTGCTATTATACTTGCCTGTCTTTAACCCAACGGCAACGTAATAGGGTACGACACAACTCAGCTTCACTGTCGCATTGCTTCAATTCCAGACCATTTGAAGTCATTGTTTTATCTCCTAAACTTCTAGCATACCCCCTGGATACAACACTGCTCCTAGTTGAATGCTTCCTTTTACGGGCTTCATACAATTATTAGATTGTAATAAATTTCAAGACGACTCCTTCGCCTGAAAGCTTCACGTCAAAATGTTCAGATGTAATGTTGACAAGCTCGTCGAGCTAGTTTGAGATTCACTTCACTATTAAGTGTGTACAGTTACTAACTTATTTGTCCGTGATCCAAAAAAGATGGTTAGTCATCGAAGCGAAGTCTAAAGAATATGCTAGATGCAGAATGAACTCCCACTAAAGCCTTTGTAAAACGGTTTTTATAACGTACGCCATGTGTGATCTAGCATTACAGTAGAACAAAACAGCTTTTTTGTCGGATGTTTTTTGTTAAATAGTCTCGTTCACTTAATATCACACATCTTCTAAGTCTAATCCCTATCTCGAAAACCTAATCAACTCATTTAAACAGTCTCCTCACACACAGCCAATTATATACTTTTAAGCCAATTAATCCTTATACACAGCCAAATATCCCCGGATTTTAACTTTGGAAGAGGCAAAGCAGATGGGTTAGGAGTCGAGAATGGCTCTGAACTCGAGGTAAAGCTGCACAATTAAGGCACAATTCGCTTGTGGAAAAGAGAGAACATTTTTAAATGCTACATGGAACACTGAAGGGGTAAAAGGGAAAACGGGCAATAAAAAAACCATCTTACACATGTTCTAACGTAATGTGATGAATATAGTTCGTTTATTTTTTTTTAGCTCCAAGCGCTTTTTCCGCACGCGCTTCATATATGACTCGACACACTTACCAACGTTGCAACATTGCTAAATGCTTCGAGCGAGACTACCACTATTAATAACCTTTTCCGATTTTTACCCAGAGCGAAGATCAGGACGGAGCACACTGACTAGGGAGAGCACCCCAGTTGTTTTTTTTTTCGCAGTTTTTAAGACGCCAAGAAACTTAGTGGGACCAAACTAGGCAACCTCTAGCCAAAAAAATTGTTCTTAGCTTTATGCACTCGCTGCGTTCGTGCCCTGTTAAGAACGTGTCCTGCTCTTCAGTAGAAATATACGCAGAACATCAGAAGGAACGGCATGTAAAGTCGTTATTGATACGTATGTCAGCCACAGCTGCACGTACCAAAATGCCCAAGCCAACCCTATCCCCACACGTGCAACGTGATATTATGCCGAGATTGAGCTGTCGTGCAAATCCATACACAATCTGCTATAAGTCACGTGTGGCGAATTTAGGTGGCCCACCGCACGAGTGCCTAGTGCTGACTAGCATGATAAGACTACTTGTATCATTCCTCTCTAAAATCTCGACATAGAAGACTCAGTATTTCTCGGTATATAATAATGCCTTTCCAAGTCGGACTAATTCAATATGTACCATACGAGAAGGGAGACTAAATAAGAAAAATATTAAATCGATAAGGAGAATTGTTCTGGCGGTTTTTCTAATTTGTTCTCGTTTCAAATGCAACTTACCCTGCATCAAAAATGCTTTAGGTGTGTTGTAGAATGCCTTACGTTTTGTCATTAAGCATTGCTAATTAGCCGTCGGATCAGTCTAGTGAATTTACGAAATTACGAAACAGAATATAAGTTAAGTTTAGCAACTTACAACTATAGTTTACAAAACGAGAATTTTAATGGAACTATCCAACTATCGTCGAACGTGATATTCGCTAGACGTACGTTTTCAAACCGACGTTACTCATACTATTACCCTTGCTGTACTAAGACTCACAATCCATTCCAACAATTGTAATTGGAAACATATCGATATATAAAGGCTTGTCAATTAATTGTCAAGAACATTGTGCATGGAACCCTCCGTTTCCTCACGCGCGATTCACCCTAGATAATCTGATGCACACAAAACTCTATCTATCATCTATTTATCTAACAAGATACTTAAGGCACATTTACGGCTATTCTATTGCGTCCTACATTTGTGACTTGTACTCAAGCCGTAAAAAAAATTCAAAATTGACTTTCTACATGACGAAGTCAAACCTTGTTACACTTACACGTGCATTTTCATTAAGGTAAATGGCAATAGCACAAATAATTAACAGCTCGATTTCCTCAAATTTCCTGAGATGCCTCGTTCAAGATGTTTCCTTATTTGTTTAGCGAGTCGGTCCGCTTTAGAAAACCAAAGACCAATCTGAAAGGTCTGTTTTACCTTTCTGGTTCCTTTTCAGGACGCTACGTAATCTGCTTCGTGCATCGATATATGCAGCATAACAAAAAAGAAAAAAGCCAAGTCTAAAGCATGCTCCTCCATGCTAATGGCGTTACAGAAGCGAGATCGATGATAAAATTTTGCATAACTTCCTTCCTGTAGTCTATAATGACATCTTTACTTGCTTTGATAGTTTTCCTTGACGAACGTCAACTAGGTTTTTACTGAAGCTGATGGATCACAGGAGAGGACAGGGGGTCGCGTTACGAAACTGGCATAGTAGACCCTGCTTTCCTGTGAGCGATTCACTTCCACGAGTAGCCAGGACCACGAGAACTAAAAAAACTTCAATCCAGTGTCTGGCTACCCGTGATTTTCTGCCGTGGACACAGCGTTTTAAGTTTTATCGTTCGAATAAAGATTCGGGATTGACAATTAAAACGTTGAATTGATCCAAAACGGCAGATAATCATTGAAAAGTGGCAATAATGGAGAGTATGCGCCTTCTTTTGCGTAATTTAATCACAAAACGTGATCCACGAACCAAAGATATGCCGTTGTTAGTCAACCCGTTATTCGTGTTTTGTGCTCTTGGAGGCTATCTCTATGTGGTTCGCAACGGCGAACGCTGGATGAAAAACTATCAGCCGTTTGAGCTGAAGAACGTTATTCGAACGTACAATGTTTTCATGATGCTCGCTAACATTTCGTTCCTTTACGTCGGCCTGAGCATGAGCTACTTCGGTGGCGGATACTCTTTCTGGTGCCAAGGAATTACTGGCAGGTAACTTTGTTCTTTTTCAATAGACTTTGTATTCTTGTATATGCGTGCATTTGGATTTTCTCTTCAGTTGCTCCCATTTTATTTCAGGCCGGAAGGCTTAACTACACTTACTAGTAATAAGCTTGAATAATTTTTGGAAAATATCAGTGATTCGGTATTAATTAAATATAGCTATAAATCCATGTGTATACATTTGTAGTATAATGTGTCTTTTTATACAGGAATAATATTTTTGTCAGAGTTAACTGATCAAGAGCAGCCCAGGTGTGACTTTTTTAACTCGCTCGAAAGGCAGCTCGTCAATTTTTTCCTCCTCGAATCTTTTAATACAGACTGGCACAACGGTGACAGAGCTTTTCTCAGGCATGTTCAGTTACCATATCTTAATTTCATACTGTTTTATAGTAGGATTACTTTTTTTTTTGCCACTATAAGGGGAATTCATTCACCCAATGAAAGTGTTTGTATATTTTTGTCAGAGCTATCTGCAAATGCCCAACATACAAAAATCCAAAATTTAAATAAACTGAACCTCTGTTAAGGCTGTATCCAAATTTCATTCAGAAAGCGACGGTTCTACTTGATCCGCTGTAATCTAGAATAGCTGAGCTTTCTCGCGAGAGACCGTTCATACCTAAGAGTAGATAATAGAATGTTCGTCAGATAACACCCTGCCACTACTGAAGTTTAACTTAAAAAATCAGACAAATCAGAGAGTTTGAATCGAATACATATGCTTCTTAGCTTGACTGCAAGTTGTAATGAGATTATTAACATTT